TATACATATGTGTGTATATGTATATATGTATATACACATAAAATAAGTAAATGTATTTCTTTGCAATTTGATATGGAAAATAAGGAAGGGAAACTTCTCACTTTTTAAGTGTTTTTTCCTCAAAGGGTGTGTGCCTGTGGTGACATGGGACTGGAACAGATGGGGACCTCAGGAGCCAGACATCCTTATCAGACAGTGAGAAGCTAGCCTGAGGTACTGCATGAGTGAAAAGCCCAAGCAAGGCCACAGACGCTCACACAGAGAACGAAGAAGAGGTTGCACTAGTCTGTCCAAAGGATGTCACACCAGACTGCTGTGAAAATACTGTTCACTTTATTTCTTGGTTTTCATCTGCACAGGACTTCCAAGAAACTTGGCAACAAATGAGTGGAAATGGAAGTGGCAGAGAACATCATGATGTGGGTGGTTTCAAAGAGAACAATCCACACTCTGCTTTCAGGAAAATCAACAACTATGCATCAATTGCTCAAATCATCCATTAGCATAGACCAGCAGTAAGATGCAAGGATGTGTAGAAGTGTAGGATTGTAAATGAATACTGCTTTTTTTTTGTTTCTCAGTAGCCCAGAGCCAAATAGTTACCAAAAAGAAAACTATATTAATTACAACACTGTTTCGCCTCTTAGCTCAGGTGTCTTATTAAGTAACTCTTGCATCTTAAATTAACCCATTTTATTAATCTATGTATCACCACAAGGCTGTAACCTACTAGTAAGTTTCCATTGTTTTTCTCCTTCAGCAGCTACAAGGCATCTGCCTGACCTGCTTTCTTTCTACCTGTATTCAGTTTAGTTTCCGTGCCTACCTCTATTCTGCCCTGCCAAAGGGCAAAGCAACTTCTTTATTAATGAATGGTATTAAAACATGTTCACAGCATGCAGAGGGAAATCCTACATCATCTCTACTTTTCTATCTCAATAAAAAGGAAGGTTTTATATTTAACATAGTGAAATTACACATAATGAAACAGGTACAAAGAAAGAATTTCAGTTAAAATATCTCTATGAGTCTAAAGTTTAATATTAAATTTTTTATCATAACTAAGAAAAAATATGACTATCTTCAACTCTATCAAAGAATCACAGAAAATACATTGTAAGCAATGACCAAAACTCTAGAATTGACAGAAAAATTTGGCTGTTTGGACAGTCACTCAAATTCTTTTATAACATTGAAGCATCCTTCTTCAGACAACAGACCCATAGTTTCTTGCAGACATTTCCATGAAACAAAAGTTGAGACACTGTTTGGCCTATATTGGCAGTTTGTCAGTCACATTCTTTTGTGGCCTGCAGAATGTCTGGTAAACTCTTTCATGAAGCAAAAACCCTGTAAAACTGTCTCACCTTCTTTAGGCAAGTTCAGCAGTCGTTTTTTTGTAGGTCTTGCATGTTCAGATTAGTTTTCCCATATAGCTCTATTCTGTCCTGCCACAGGCAGAAGCAGATTTTTTATTAACCAATGATAATAAAGCATGTTTACAGCATATAATGGAGATACCCACATCATAGGATAACCAGATTTTCCTACTGACATTGACACAGACTTCTCCAATAATCCAGTTTAACTGAGTTTACTAATATTAAGTTATTTTTTATGTTACAGGGTAATATTTTTCTATTGCTATCTAAATAATTACTATTCATTTTCCCAGTTCCTGGGACACATTGAAAAAGTTCAGTTCATCATGATGACTTCTGATGTTCATCTCAGTTATACATATGATATTTTAAACGATTTTTTTCTTGAACCATTAAAGATGCATTAAAACTGACAACTTAAAGCTGATTTGACTGGTTTCATTTCTGAATTATCTTTCACCTTAGGGCACAGAGTTATTTCTAAATTCTTATGTTCTTGTCTAAAAAATGAAATCCAAGCTCACAGTTATATTGCATAAAGATTCACAAATTTAACTCTGGCTACTAGTTTAGCCTGTAGTTAGAATGAGCCACTCTCAATTCTAAAATCACCCACAGACTCATCCATATTAAATTTTACAGTTCCCTGGATCTGCCAAGCTCTTTATACTTCTGAAACATCGTTCACATTTTTCCCTCTAGATGGTATGCCTTACTTCCACACAAGAGTTTGTAACATGGATTGCACTTATTTATGTACTTACTAGGACAAAGGTAAATAGACAAATAAGTACTCAAGGATACAATTCCTCATTGCCATTAATATAATGATTTATTTTCTAACTAAAATAAATTCCTTGTGTGAGTATATACCATATTCCTCTTTTTGGGTCTCAGTTACCTCACTCAGAATAGTGTTTTCTATTTCCATCCATTTGCATGCAAAGTTCAAGATATTATTGTTTTTTTACCGCT